CATCTTAAAGTATTATACTCTGAACTTTCATATAAATTACATAATATTGAATTTGATATTTTGGATGGGAAAGCCAGAGAACTTGCTTCAATGGCTGTTTATGAGAAATATCAAATTCAGTCCCGTAAATTACAACGACTTGTATCCTCTTCATCCCGTAATCGTGATAACGACATACATACAGAATATCACCAATTTTATCCCCGAGTTAAAAATCTTTCCGATGTCCAGTTTCCAACAGATGAGTTGTCCCTTTTACATAAAGGCCTAAAGTATAATTTAACACCTTCGGTCTCCCAAAAATCGTTAGAGACTATGGCTGTTGACGCGGAGGTGGCTGTTGTGATCGGGAAGAAAGATAACATCGTTAAAAGTTTGGTAGCTAATGAAATTCGGGCTGTGCCCGCGTCTTCCCATTTCAATCCTGAGTTCCCTGTTTTTAAGTCCCTAAAGCAGAGAATAAGGGAAAACGACCTTATTGTTACTAAAGCCGATAAAGGCAATACTGTTGTTATTATGGAGAGTAGTGGGTACAGCCAGAAAGTTAACGATGTTATCCAAGGTGATGACTTTGAGCTATTGGAGTCTGACCCAACCAAAAAGTTTACTTCGGATATTAAGTTATGTATACAACAGTCATCATATGTTTTTCCCGATCACAACTTGTCTCGGAGCAATCTTGTTCCAATGAATCCTCAAGCACCCATTTTATATGGGTTACCAAAAATACATAAAGAACATGTTCCTATTCGTCCAGTTGTCTCATATATTGGTGCACCAGCTTATTTCCTTGCTAAAAAATTAAACTACCTCCTTCGAGAGAAATCTGGATTCAACCCCACTTACAGCCTAAAAAATGGCTTAGATCTCATTTCCAAAATTAAAGATATTCGTATTCCTCCTAAATCCATATTGTTATCTTTAGACGTTGATAGTCTTTTCACAAATGTCCCATCCCCTGACTGTTTGCGTATACTCGCAGATCTCTTTGAAAAACGTCGTCTACATCCCGGGGAAACAAATGATCTTCTTAACTTAACCTCTCTCTGTATGAAACAAAACTATTTCCGGTTTAACAACCGTTTCTATCTACAAAAAGAAGGATTAGCTATGGGGTCCCCTCTAAGTCCCCTTATGGCGGACATTTTCATGGATAATTTCGAAAAACAACATATAGTTGTCAATCAAAATATCTTATATTACTATCGATATGTAGACGACATAATTATTTGCTGGACTGGCACAAGGAGACAACTGGATGTTTTCCTCAATAAAATAAATAGAGTCCATGACAAAATTAAATTTAAACTTGAATTGGAACAAGATTGTTCCCTTAATTTTCTTGACTTAACAATGACAAGAAAAGAATCGTCACATGTTTTCCAAATTTATCGAAAGCCAACTCACACCGACACGGTCATCCCCGCGTCATCATGTCATCCATGGCAACATAAAGTAGCCGCTTTTTATTGTTACATTAACCGTTTGTTCACTGTCCCATTAAGTAAAGAAAATTATTTAAAAGAACTTAATATAATTTATCAATAAGCGGTCTCTAACGGTTTTTCAAAAAATCTCATTAACAATTTAATTAAAAAGAAACAAAAGCATGTTATTCGCAACTCTCTGTACGCGGTTCAACCTCAAAGTGTTCATCGATATGTGAGCAGTTTGACCTACTTAGGCCCCATATCTGAAAAAGTAGCTAATACTCTTCGAAAAACCGGCGTTCATGTGGCGTTCAAAACAAACAATTCTCTTAGAAATATCTGTAATAGTAAAGATAAGTTGGATATTCGTCAAAAGTCAGGTGTTTACAAACTTGTTTGTGACGAATGCCACGCCGTTTACGTGGGTCAGACTGGTCGCAATTTCGAGACACGTTATAAAGAGCATTTAGCCGCGTACAGGAATTGCAATCCCGATAAATCCCATTTTGCCAAACATCTTTTGGACACTGGACACAACCTAGCCAACGACCACTCCTTTAAAGTCTTACATACGTGTAATAAAGGGCTGCGGCTGTGTGTGCTGGAACAGTTAGAGATATTAAAAAGTAATAATAATACCGTTGCATTGCTGAATGAACAAACAAATGTTACTAACTCACCTCTCTTAAATATCTTCAAGCCTGCTCTCTAATAATGTGGGCGTTGCGCGACGGTTTGTTTTTAATTTTTACAAACGGCTGCGTAAGTCCAGCGGTGATTGGTCGCATGTTTTATCGCATGACGCAGTCGCTCGCTTCTTAGGTAGAGAGCGGTTGCATCATCGGCTTGTATAAAAGGCACTTGTTTTGGCTCGCCGCTCACTTAGCGGTTAGCCACCGTAGAGTCTATATCACCTGAGGATGCCTCGTGTAGAGGCGAAACACGTGTCGTATTATCGTCAGTGGTGTGTCTTGCCTAGTGTAGTGGTGTTGGGAGTAGCGGTGCTGGGATTAGTGGTGACGGGGATAGTGCACGCAATTGAGGGAGGGCGGGAGGTGCTTCTTCATACTAGGTAAGACACATCATTTTATTTTATAACGCGGATATTTGCGAAGTAAATTGTTGTAAAAGCTTTTATAAGACTAAATAAACAAAATCTATATTACAGCCAATGAAAGAGCATGCCAGACATATTTCGCTATTGTTCATGGGCAGCGGTAGTCACTTACCATCAGGTGAGCCACATGCTCGTTTGCCCCCTCTCCTATAAAAAAAAACGCAACACATTTTTTTCTTTTAATCTAATCAGACCAATCCAGACTTCAAAGTGCTATAGACGTTAAAGACTAAATGTGAAAAATCAAATGCTTAAGTGCAGAAGACAAGCAAGGAAGCTTTTAGAAATATTTTCCAAGACCTGAAAAATTGAATTTTATAAATAACTTAATAAATAAAAAAAGTTTAAAAGTTCATCTAATAAATACATAATAAAATCGATTTCTGTTGCTTTATTTTAATTTCCCTCGTTAAACCATTTGCCCTGCATTAAAAAGTTATAGTTGGCCAGGCCAAATTTATGACTCATTTCAAATTTCTTATCCTTATTTCACCTATGTAATCAGATTTTCAGTTTCGTGGTGGCTCATATTGCAAAATGATCCATAAATCGAATCATGTCTTAAAATGAAAAACATTATTTTTATTGTATGTGATTACGATTAATGGATTTTGTAATCAATACGATCAACAATAGCATTGTAATAAATGAACAGTTATGGACAGCACTAGGTATGGACGGAGACTACGCCCTTTTAGTTTCTGTTTTAGAACGTAGTAGGCTAATAGGATCATTTTGTTTATGTCTTCTATTTTTGTAGGTTATTGGCTTGTACTTACTCTGAGACATTTAAAAACATTACTGATATGTGGAGTTTTGGCGGTAACTTGACTGGCGGCGGCTTGCTGCTCCTGTATTATTATTTAAATAATGGTTTAAAGTAGATATGTAAAAGGGGTGCGATTTTGTGTATTAAATGTCTGCTCATGTAAACAATTAGTGGGAACGGTGAAACAAATGCTCTGATGGTGATGTGTTTCTCAAGATAAGGTGTCTGTCTGCTTAGGCGCCTTGAGATACTTTCGCTAAACGGTAAGCTGTCTGCTGGCTCAAGTTGCCATCGAAATCTCCCAAGGGCTGCACAATATGACGCATCAACATATTGTGAAGCAGTGTACTATGAAGAATAATTATACATTGTAACTTCAGGCTCAAAAGGGCTAGAACCCAGAGCCGTAAAGCCAGTTAAAACAAATGTCTGTCATAAATATTTTGACTTTTGATAGGGATGCTCGGTGTTGTAGAAACATCGATGATGACATCGATGTTGACATCGATAGCTCAACATCGATGTTTGATGTTTATCCTATTCAAAACACCGATGTTGGCCATTATCGATGTTTTTGCACATGTATTTAATAGGTTAGAATTAGATGAATAAAAAAATTTTCATGTTGTTTATGGTTTATAATTAATGAAATAAAAGAAATTAATAAACAATGTAGCGTAAAACAGTAATTAAAAAAAATTGAAGAAGTTCACAAATATCTAGTTCATTTGTTATATAGTCCAATATTTTTGCCGATTGATTGAAGAAATAGTAATTTTGATAAAGAGTTGAGCCAGCTATTGAAAATAATTAAAAAATAAAAATTTTGTACAACTGCCTTCAATATAAATTATTAAGGATAACTCAAAAACTATTGGTCAGACTTATATAAGTCAAATTTATATGGGAACACATGACGAGCACTAGCTTTCAAATAAAAAAAGAATCATCGGAATCGGTTCACACAGAAAAAATTATGAGGTAACACACATTAAAAAAAAAGAACATACAGTCGAATTGAGTACCTCCTCCTTTTGAAGTCGGTAGATAACCGCTCAGATGGCGTTGATATAGCGATTGTGGTCAAATATCTCACCGTAAGTTTTTTTTATTTTATTATATATAAGTAGAACCAATAACATTGTTCTAAACGTGAATTGGATCGTGTTTAAGATGGTTCATCTTATTTCGGATTTTTTTTAAAACAACCGACAAAGAAACGGACAACCAACAACGACATCAATAATAAAACGAAATCAGTGACAACTGCGACATTACAGTTGACATTTGACAGTTAATTTTGATACACCATAATGATATATTTTTAGGTTATCGATGCGTTCAAGCATTCTGAATCATTAAAAATTTTAAATATTTTAGAGGAGATGCAAGATTAAGTTGATAATGATTTTTCGGTTTCGCAGTGTTCGCAAGTATCCAATAATCCACCACCTAATCGATTATGGGTTTATTGACATCGATGTTTCCATGTTTGACATGAGGCAACATCGATGTTAAATCATCGATGTTTTCATTTTTGACATCGATGATCATCGAACATCGATGATCATCGAGGATCCCTAACTTTTGAGTGCTTTTTTTTATTTTGTAAATAAAATATTCTTACAATATAAGAGTTATAATTATTGCAGATAGATAGAATAGTAGCCTTAATAAATGTAAAATGCCGCAGTTGTTCCAAGTTTTAAGATGTTATAAATGCTTGGTTTTTCAAGTAAGTTATATGTAATAATATAGTTCATCAATTTATACTATCTTCATACTTTTTTTTTATAGATTAGGGGTGACAGACGATCACCTGATTGTAAGATACTGTCCACTTACCATCAGGTGTACAGTATAGTGGACTTCATAGCATTCACAGAACACTTACCATTGCGTTCATTCATGAGATTGTTGACAGTTTTACGATTCATTTTATTTTGCCTCTTATAAAAACCGAATCAATCCGTAACAAAACTGGCTTTATTCATTTTTATGCCCTTTTTGTCACTTAGGGATATAGTTTAAAGTTCTATATGGTGTTCATTAAAGTTCAAGAAAATACTCATTGTTGCCTTAAAATATATTATGGGAATAATGATAATAATATAATATAATACCATAAAATACTACCTACTATGTATAAACTACTACTTTTAATAAAAACTACTAATACACCAAATGCCATAATATTAACCCTTTCGCTGTCCCATGCACTACATATTATAGGTCATTGCTATTGTCTTACTATTGTGTCTGAAAACTAGACAGTGAAAGTGTTAAAGTAAAATATATATACCAAAAACTTCCTATAAAACACATTTCAAGTAGTACAGACTTTTAGTGGAATGATAACCAAACATAAAAGAAAATGATACAGCTGTATAAAGTTACATAGACAAGACAGAATTAAACTTATAGACATTACCACATTGACATATTATAATATCGAAGCAAAAGATGTAGAAAAACTTAGCAAATACCATCTGTTGAAAAATAAAATAAAAAGGCTTGTATATGCAAACACATATAATACAGATTGTAGTAGGAGAACAGGAATCACAGAAACACGCATAGAAAAATTTAACTTAAGGATAAACATTCACATTATACAAAAAATGCAGCTATTTGTATGTTAAAAATACTGAGTAAAGTTTTTATATGTCAATGATCTCTCTTCATTCATACACCTGTGATAACAACTTAAAAAACTGTAGTTGCTAATCCAATCGCGAAGCATGGCAACTATGGCAAAATCCCACCTATGAGGCAATCTATGGGGAAGGCCTATGTTTGGAGCGGCAGTGGATTTTTATAGGTTGATAATTTTGTAGACTCATACTCACTCCACTTTTTCATTATTATTAAATGTATGTTATATAGTAAAACAGAGATATCACTATCTGCTACAGTAATGTAACAAACACTTCAGCTAAAATTGGTGAATATGGCATCCTTTCAGTTACCGTTTAATATATACATATAAATATCTAATTGTTTTCCATCCAATTTGACATTACATAAAGACTACTAGATGTTACACATGAATGTCTACATATTGCCTGTAGCGTGGATTAAAAAAATCTACCAAGCTACTTAAATGATATTTCAGTTCAAACATTAATCTGGAAAAATATCTGCTGATAGATAAATATAAAACTTTTAAAAATTAATATTTCTTAAATTAATAACCTAAATGGTAGCCAATCTAATTTGACTTGTTGTTTAATTGCTTGATATGAAATTTCCAGATACACCAAACAAAAAAATCTAATAAATTTCAATGTAAGATGTGTGGTGAAAAGCAGTCAATTAAACGCCATTATGGCCTTGGTAATGGTAAAGAGTGTAGACTTCATGTTCAAAAATTAAATTCAATTAGAGGGCAAACAGAAGAAGAAAAACTCATTACAGTATATTCAGATGATGATATTGGAGACTGTAGTGAAAATAATGAAATTGTCAATTCAACTGAACAACAAAGTAAAAGTAAATGGTCATCATTTATAGAAAAAGATGAAGACAATTCACAGGTTGTTAATGAACCTATGTTCTTCGACAGTAAAGAAGTGGTTTTGGAGATGCCCACAAAAAGAAAGAAAATCATAGGTCCTAAAAGTACAAATAAACATACTGTATCAAGGGTCTCTTTTGAAGATAAAAGTTATAATGAAATTCAAAATGATTACGAATGTAATGAAAGTTTTGAAAATACTCCATCTATACATGAAATTACTGAATATGTTAAAATTACAGAACCATGCTTAAAACCTCATCAAAAACCTAACAAAGTAAATAAAAATTTAGTTCAAAATGAGCCCAAAGTTGGACCCGCCATTCAAAAGTCCTCCAAATGGGCTCAGTTTGTTGAACCTGAAATTGACATAGAACATGATGCATCTCAAGAAATAAATATCAACCCCTCATATAGTGCTCAAAACTTTTTTGAATCATGCGATGAAACTGACCTTGACACAATATTAAACATTTAATTTGCTAAAATATTTTAATTCACATCTCGAAAAGCTTAACAAAACAGAATATAGACTACAGATTTAATCAGCAAGATAAAAAAAAACGATTGAACCATTAGCCCTTTGACTTAACATGTTGAAAAAAAACTTATCCTAAAATTAAAATGAAAGCAAAATACAATAGCATTGCCTAAGAAGATTGTGGAGCTGTAAATATTCATAGTAAGCATAGTCAAATTTTCATAACTTTTGGAAATGTAGATATAATGAATAACATACAGAATGTTATTATTTTACAGAAATATTTCATACAGTATAAATTATTAGCATCTAAATATCTATATTTTTGATGTAAAAACTTCCTTAAGCGTTTTTATTTTTTTAATTAAACTAAACTGAATTACTAAAAAAGAACATAACGTAAACGTACATACCTAGATTAATGTGTACTGAATCTAATGAGACCAAAATTGTCTTATTTCGTAAAGGCTTAGGGGGGTGAACACGTTATCACCCGAAAAAACATTTCAAAAAGGAAAAAAGTAAACCAATGCCTCCAAGACTTCCAACACTCTCTATCGCACGATACGGTGATACGGAGAGAGGGGTATGAAACAGGTAGCATTTTTGAAATTACCTACTCACACCGCATATCTACACTTCACAATCCTCGGATATATTATTTATGAGGTGTGGATTATTTACGAGGAATAATATTTAATTTATTAATAAAACCAAAATACTTATCACAATGGCAACAGTTTAATATCACTTTTTTACTTCTAGTAGACAAAAGTGGTTACAGGTTATTATTATTATTACTTCTATTACAGTTTTATTAGTCCTATAAAGAGTTCTTAATTGATTGCTTGATTTTTATTGCATTGCAGCATTTATAGCATTCATTCAAAACACCTACTCGGTTTTATTACATATTTCAAACCTTATGTTTTCTAAATATATTTTTGTTAAATTTATAGTGAATTTGTGGTTTGTACAATTCATTACTTAAGCGATAAGTAATACTTCAGGCAGTGATTTTACTTATATTAATTATAAAACTTAAAATTATAGTCCTCTATATAGTGCCTATTTAATTGTTACAGTTGTTACTTAACAATCCAAATACCTACACTTTGAACAAGAAGGAAATTTGTAACAAGTACTTACTTTTAAACCAACATGCCTATTCATCTACAAAAAAGACAAATACAGACAATGAATACAGGATTCTAGAATGATTATAATAGGAAGCCCTACAAGATTCGATGTCGAATTCCAAAAAGTTCTGGTTGTATCTTATTATTTCACATTTTATAACATTAAAAATGTTAACATTTTTCATTTACGTCAATATATCTTTAAAATTAAAACACCACATTTTCTAATTAACATATCAATCACATTATAATTTACTAGACTAGAACACCATCATATGGCGACGGCGATGCAACTCCCTTGCTCTTGCATATCGACGACCATATCCACTCCATCGCCATGCTCTGTTTATAACATATTTAATATTAATAACTTAAAAACACAATATTTTATAGAAGAAAAGTCAAACACACTAATATTATGTAGGTACTTAAAGTATTAAAACTTAAAAAGCAGTAAAGTATTTGTTCATTGTTTATAGAAAACAGAAAGGAAGGCAAGGCGACAAGGTAAAATTTAAATTGAAGTGCCCTTCCCATACGCTGCATCACTATCACATGATAATATTGTGATATTGACAGACTCAAGAAGCGCACTCCAACACCTGCCTCGGTGCACCTCGGGTACACGAGGTACACCGACAGCCAACACCGTTCTGGATACTATTTATGGGTTAACATCCAGATCAAAATCTATAAAGTTATAGTGGGTTCCGTCTCATTGTGGTATGGAATATAATGAGCGAGTAGATATCTTGGCTAGACAGGCTACTACGAATGGTATCGAATACAGCATATTACCCCATTATACTGATTGTATTTCTATTATAAAAAACAATGTTATATACTATGGAAGGTTGGGCTGGGTATGAAAGGTGGAAGTATTTCGATTTACGTTCAAAAGAAAAGGGTATTTGGTACCAGACGGTACAGCCACAACCGCCTAAAATACCATGGATTGATAACCATAAGCTATCGCGACAAGATGCAGTAGTGATAATGAGGCTTCGTACTGGACACATTCCACCTAGTAAGTTTGCATTTCTCATGAAAAATGTCCAGTCACCCAACTGTGATCAATGCGGTGTTACCGAGGACCTAATGCATGTCTTGATGAAGTGTGCCCACAATGCTGCCTTTCGTATTGATAAGTGCCATTCACATCTTTAAGCCACATTCTGACGACATAAAATTATCAATCAAACTTTACAAGGTGAAGTTCTCAGATCGATCACTTTCCTCACTGTGATTGATCTGGAAATTTTGATTGTAACTAAATGCATAACTTCTACTTATTGTAATTAATTACGGATTTAAGAAATTTATAATGTAATTAAGTTTAAGTATATCAAGGTATTTGTTTTGGTCATGAACTAACGGAGCGACATATTCACATTGTGATTAAGCTCATTAATAAAGAATTAAAAAAGTGCTCTGCCCCTGTGACCTCCGCCTGCATTTCAAGGCCTAGACAAACCAGCCCCTATTCACTCACTCTGTAAAAGACAGCTCATACACGTTTCACTCAACACCGCTTTCAGTTCTACGCCGTATACAATACAAGTCTACTGCCGAACATAGGCCTTCTCCAAGAAATGCTACAAGCCACGGTCCTGAGCCATCTGCTTTCATCGACATCGATATCTAGTAGGGAGCCGCCCTACATTTGGTCTTCCGGTACGAGGCTACCACTCGAGAACCTTTCCTCCCCATCAGTTGTCGGTTCTTCGAGCTATATGGCCGGCCCATAAAAACAACAACTAGCAATACCCTTCATGGAAATAGAAAAAGAAACCCATGCCAAAGTCAAGTAATAAGAAATTAATATTTTGTTTCAAAAACTTTCACGATATGCGGGTGCGTCAAATTCTTGGGAGAGTTTGACGGCAGCTTACCCCAGCAGACTATCGATGGCGACAGTATCTGAAGTTCTAAAGACGTTTAAACGGACAAAATAACTTGAGGTTTATATCAACATCGGTGTACTTGTTTCATCGTTTCCACGTGCGCGTTAAATATATATAATACACGAAGTCCCATCACCTTTACATATCGAAATCCACTTCAAACCATTATTTAAACGATAAGACAGGAGCAACAACCTGACGGCGGTCAAGTTCTCCACAAAAACTTCTACATGCCATTTTAATGAGGTTTTCACCGCGATTATTAAATTACTTTATGGAGTAGGATGTTAAAAACAATTGCAGTGATTATTTTGCACAAAGTGGATATGGAACCATCAGTCTTTTTTTAAGCAGGTTCAAAAACTAGATGGTATTCCGCAAAATGAACAGGTACACCGTCACCGTATATGTCGAAGACCATAAAATATCGGGAAGGCCTCGTGCTGCTAGAACCAGACGGGCTGTGAACGCTGTCAAAACCAGAACTCGGCAAAATCGTATGAGGAAACAAAAAAATTATTGCGCACAGATACCGCGTCTAGAACTAGACATGACTGCTATCGTAAGGCCACTGCATTTCCATCACGACCTTAGTGTGAGTGAGCTGAATCCATTTACGTTTTTAAAACGCACATAAAAGTATGTAGTTTTCTGCGCTTCCTCACACCTCATCACTTTGTCTTTAGCTACAAAGTACGAGAAATCGCATTATACTATAAGTAATAGGTCTTTACCTATGAAATAACCGTTTTGTTGAACTTGCCACTTTAAAATGTAAGGATTTATTATAAATAATTTGCTATGGACACTTTATAAATCCATAGATTCATCGCCAGAGAAATTAAAGGCCTGTATCAAAGCCAGTATAAAGCGTCAGTAGCCTAATGGCAGGGCACGGACCGCGAACTCGAAAGGTCGTGGGTTCGAATCCGTCATTCGACTACTGTCGTGAACCACTTCTAACACAAGCATTTTAAGCTTACCAGGAAGTGGACCTGGTCGAGCCCCGACGGTTCGACAAAAAATGAGATTGACTTCATTATGACGACCAGACGACAACTGTTCAGTGATGTCTCCGTGATCGCGAGGGTGAAAACTGGTAGCGATCACCGAATGGTTAGAGGCACACTGAACCTAAACGTTAAGTTGGAGAGGTCTCGTCTAATGAAGTCAACGCTCCGTCCCCCTCGTGCTCTGTTTCAAAGTCCCGAAACCTTTCAGCTCGAGTTACAAAACCGTTTTCAGTGCCTAGAAGACTGCGATGAAGTGGACGATATGAATGACAAGCTCGTGGAAACTGTCCATGCGGTCGGAGCTAAGTTCTGCAAGACCCGCCGCAGAAGAACACAAAAACTCTCCGATCACACTCTTAATCTCTTGGCTGTTAGACGGGAGATGAAGCTACATTCTTCAACAGACTTGACAGCATACAGGCATCTGAACAGACAGATCTCCAAATGCATGCGGCGGGACTTACGCAACTTCAATACAGCTCGTATTGAAGAAGCGATCGAGCGGAACCAAGGCTCCAAAGTCTTTGCCAGAGATCTGTCTGCCAGAAAGAGCCACCTGTCAAAGCTGAAGACAGGATGTGGCAGCATCGTTTCCGGGACACCTGAGATTTTGAGTGAGATTGAGAGGTTCTATGGGCAGCTGTACACGTCATCGTTGGAGCCACACGCAAGTGTGAGTAACGATCCAAGAGCGTGTCTCATCCGACACTATTCCGAAGATATCCCGGACGTCAGTCTGAGCGAGATTAGAATGGCTCTCCAGCACCTTAAAAACGGTAAGGCCCCAGGCGAGGATGGAATTACAGCGGAGCTTCTGAAAGCGGGTGGAAGACCGGTACTTGAAGTCCTTCAGAAGCTCTTTAATTCCGTCCTCCATGGTGGCATTACACCGGAGGCGTGGAGCAGAAGTGCGGTGGTCTTGTTCTTCAAGAAAGGTGACAACGCTCTCTTGAAGAACTACAGACCGATTTCCCTTCTGAGCCGCGTCTACGTGCTGTTTTCGAGAGTCATTACGAATCGTTTCGCGCGCAGACTTGACGACTTCCAGCCTCCCGAACAAGCCGGTTTCCGAAAGGGCTTTAGCACCATAGACCACATACATACCCTTCGGCAAATTGTACAGAAGTCCGAAGAGTACAATTTGCCACTATGTCTGGCGTATGTGGACTATGAGAAAGCCTTTGATTCCGTCGAAATTTGGGCGGTGCTGCAGTCCCTTCAGCGGTGCCAAGTTGACTGTCGGTATATCGAAGTGTTGAAGTGCTTGTACAGTAGGGCTACGATGGCTATCCGAGTACAGAACCAGAGTACGAAACCTATCCAATTGCAGAGAGGTGTAAGACAGGGTGACGTCATATCCCCGAAACTCTTTACCGCTGCATTGGAAGACGTTTTCAAGCTTCTGGACTGGAAAGGATACGGTATCAACATCAATGGCGAGTACATCACTCACCTTCGATTTGCCGACGATATAGTCCTTATGGCAGAATCGCTGGAGGACCTAAGCACTATGCTCAATGACCTCGATAGTGTTTCCCAACGGATAGGTCTTAAGATGAACATGGATAAAACAAAGATCATGTTCAATGTCCATGTCACACCTATGCCGGTAGTTGTTGGGAGCACTAAGCTCGAAGTTGTTGACGAGTATGTTTACCTGGGACAAATAGTCCGACTAGGTAAGTCCAACTTCGACCGAGAGGTCAATCGACGGATTCAACTCGGCTGGGCAGCGTTCGGGAAGCTACGACACATCTTCTCGTCAGACATACCTCAAAACCTGAAAACGAAATTGTACAACCAGTGCGTGTTGCCAGTGATGACTTATGGAACTGAGACGTGGTCCTTCACTGCTGGCCGTATGAGGAAGCTCAAGGTCGCTCAGCGAGCTATGGAGAGGGCTATGCTCGGAGTTTCTCTGCGTGATAAACTTAGGAATGAGGATATCCGCAGTAGAACCAGAGTAACCGACATAGCCCAACGGATTAGTAAGCTGAAGTGGCAGTGGGCCGGCCATATAGCTCGAAGAACCGACAACCGATGGGGAAGAAAGGTTCTCGAGTGGCAGCCTCGTACCGGTAGGCGAAGTGTAGGGCGTCTCCCCACGAGATGGAGTGACGACCTGGTAAGACATGCAGGAAGTCGATGGATGCAGGTGGCTCAGGACCGTGCTTGGTGGCATTCTTTGGGGGAGGCCTATGTTCAGCAGTGGACTTGTGAAGGGCTGTAATGATGAATGATGATGATGAGAAGTGGTTAAAGGGAATATTAGTAATGTTTAATCGCATTACTAGTATTTAAAAAAAAAAACAAAATTGGCCGCTTTGAATGAATTTTTTTATACAGCTTATTTATTACACTATTTCTTTAAGATATGCATTTTAATTTGTAACAGAACTGGTCATACTAGGCATTTACTATTTTTTATATATTTTACCTTTCATTATATCCAATAGCTTCTCCCCTGTAAAGATGTTCATCATCAAAGCGCCTATTTATTTCATCACTGTTCCCTAAAATAAAATTCTCAACGTTAGCAACTTTGCATTTAGGTTAGACTCTGCTCTTATGTACAAAATTAACTACTGTTACCAATTGGGTTCGAATGAGAAAATCGCCTGCAAGAAGGTCCACGACAATTTAAAAGTTGTTGGAGCTGATTGTGAAAGTAATCCTTTTCTGATTGAGTTAAATATTTAACTCTATTTTGAGTCTCAAATGGATCTGCAACAAAACACTTGTTTAAACCTCGTTCTGTTTTAAAATCATTTAAAATTCACATAATGCTACTCACCAATACGCAAGTTGTAATAGGTCACAAGTCCAGTAACAAATTCGCAGTATAGAATATTGTGAGTGGCGTTAATTGTTCTTACACAATTGTAGGTATTGTTAGATGAACTCATACAGAAGCAGAATGGTCCAGCGGTCCAAAGGGGTGCAGTTCTCCAATGGTCATTATCATGTCTGAAGCAGTTCATTCGTTCCGATTCGCAAAGCCTCTCTAATTCGGCCTGAAAATGTTACAGATTGATCGTAAGCGATATTCTTGAGCCAAGAAATTATTTTTTAATTTAGTAACATTCTTTCTATGTAACTTATGTTTCAAGAAATAATGTTAAATCAATTATTTTTACCTTCTTTTTAGCTTTCCTTAGTTTTTTACGCAGTCTTTGTTCTTTTAACTTTCTTCGTTCTTCTCTTGCTTTTTGAGCAGCTTCTATATAAGCTAGTCCTGGACCTCTCGGCTTACTGTAAGAATTTCAAATTTACATTTATTTTAAATTACTACATGAATTACATTTTAATACCTAATCCGTCTTATTACAAAAAAGCAGTATAGAACTAGCCTCAGGTTTGAAATAGTCTATTTCAACTAAATAGCTCCGTTGAAAATATGTGAACTGAAATGTAAGCTATGGAATTTGACAGCAAAAGTTCAATATCGCCGCGACTAAACTTCGCGTAGTGTATAATCTTTGGCTAAGCTAAGATAAAGAATTTTATTTATGGAATAATATTAATAAAAAATATATTAATATTTTTTAAACCAATGACTATCAACAACCAAAACTGTTTTATTACAGAAAGTACTTTCTTTTTAGTCTCAAACTTAAAATAGAATCTTTTTGACTAAAGGAGTCCTGCGAAAATATACGAACCATTGACATTTATATACAACCTTTTGAAATCATTGATACGAACTAAAATGTATTAATGTATAGAATTTGACAGCAAATGTCAAATATCGCGAAGATTGTGTCTATATAAGGGAGTTCTTTCATGAGTAGTTCTTAAGTTAGTTCTTTCGGTTCGTAAGTATAAATAAAAAAAATTGCATTTTGCAATGTGGCGGAATGTGTCTAATTAGTGTATTATTTAAAAGTCAAATCTAACTTACCGACTTTCTTCGCAATAACAAACATGTTTATCTTCATTTTCAATAAATAAGGGGTGTAGCCTTCTCTGGAATATATCGGTTGGTTTGCTAAACACCCCCAAGTTATCAGTTCCCGCTTTATTTGTATTTCTTTGTTCGTATTCTGAAGCATCAAATCTGGTCGGTCCTAAGCTCGGGCTTGCAGTTGTTTCATATTGAAGAGTTATAGGTTTATTTGTAGTTGAAGTATATTCAACATTTAACACTTTATCGGAGTTAAGTAGATTTGTAACTTTAGAAATAGAAGATGTTCTATCTGTATGTTCGTAAAGATTTGTAGCTTGTGAGACATACATAGTCGAATCTGCATCAAAGACATAATCGTCATTTTTTTGTTTGGTATTAGAAGTAACAAATGGCTTTAAATACTCTGTCGTTACGACATCATTTATTGTAGTCAGTGCACTATATTTTGTTGTTTTATCATCTGCAACGTTTTGACCGAAATAATTTCTTTCTATTATAACCGTCGTGACTTGGGGTTTGGGTAATTCAGTATTGTCTGTTTTATTTCTTTCTACTTTATCGCCGGAAATATTCAAGTCATATTTAAGGGTACTTGCTTCTGTCGTAGTATCATTCTTTATTTGATGATCAAAAATATCTTCTCTAGTATTAACATTTACTGTCGGCACAACATAGTCATTAGATTGTCTAAATTTCTTTTCAAGTAACGTGTTATTTCTTTGCTTAAATTTCATTCTGTGCAGTTTCGCTTTTCTCACATCGTGCGTTGTGCTTTTATTGCGTAAATGCTGATTATGGTTAGCATAAGGCGGCGTTACGGTCTGCACATCGATCACTGGTTTACTGGTTTTTAAATGTCTCTTTATTTCTTTTAAGTCTTCAAGTTTGGTTCGTAGCTGTCTAATTTGGTCTTCCAAGCTGAGTCTATTCGTATGCCAAGCTTTCAAATCATTATAAATTAATTGAGAGCAATTGACGGTTCCGTCCTTTTCTATTTTACATTCCAATGATGACTCATTAATACTTTCCATAACATCATTTTTTTGTTTGTGTTTATTATGATTAAAATGTTGAGCCCTACGTTTTATTCTCTTATGATCTACATTTTCTTTGGTACGCTCGTAAGCTTTAAGATATGCCTCAGTTTCCTTAATAAGTTCATCTATTTTAGCCTTTGTATTCTTATTGTCTACTTCATTGAATGGCTCATTTGTAAATCTCAAATGTCCTATACTCGGGTTTTCGTCTAAAATCTTATCTACTGTATTAGGTTCAAAAACATCATTGTCTATTGATCTGCGCTTACGTGTTGTGTTTTCTTTTTGACTGTCATTTGGTCGCCTAAGTATTGTGCCGTCAGTTTCCAGACGTGTGTAAACAAGTCCACTTGGAGTAAAACATGCGCATTTCTTTGTGCTCATTTTTGGTTGAGGTGTGCTTATTTCTGACTGTAAATGTAACATTTATTTAATTTCACATAATAGTTTCTTTAAAATCACATGCTGAATTAAAACATCCGAATCAATTTACCTCGTATTTACATTTATGTCTTCGCCAGCGACCGTTAACAAGGACACATTTCCACTTTCGACCAATGGAACACGGAGCACGTAACTCCGCTTTTGAACATTCTGCTGCAAGACGAGCTGCTTTGCCACTGGCAATGCTCGCTTCAGCTGTTTCTGTGTCATAAAATGAAAATATTATTATTAATATTATTAAAATATTATAAAATAAAATGTTATTATGTTATATTTAAAACGAAATTATTTAAAAAGCCATTTATTTATTCATTACAGCAAATCAAAAGTTAGCTGCTGAACAAAGGCCTGATTATCTTAGAGAGGAATATTTGCAATAGTTGCCACGCTTGTTAAGCAAATTGGCAACCGCAATTTTTCATTCCTTTTGAGTTCTTCGCAGGAAGATGCCGTTGCTCATTTCCTGCTTCATTTCGTCTCTTACGACACCCACGAGAGGATATGGGGTAGTGGATTCTTTTACGTCGCCATCACATGGAGAATTTTGAAAAAACAATACAATAAATTATACATTAATCGAAACACGATAAAAAAATTAGATGGAAAACTACATACGGTCGAAGAGCTCTGATCTTGTAGGTGAAAGAAAGTCGAGCTGATTAGCACTGCCTTCTTCTGCATCGAGTGCTTTTTCAAGATTTGCCTCCAATATCGGATTGTTACTTTCATTAGTTAGCAAAGGCTCCGTCAATGTTTTGGAACCTTCATTAGAATCCGTGCTTTCCTAAAATAATTAATAATAAGTAGTAATTTATATTTATTACATAGAGTTTATGTAACATGTGTAAGTACAATACACTCCGTAATAGAGTGGTCTAGGATTCGAGTTTAAATGGATAAAATAATATTAACCTCTCTATCAGCCACACTTAAGAGCGATTTTATTTTATTTATTTTTTTATGGGAGAGGGGGCAAACGAGCATGCGGCTCACCTGATGGTAAGTGACTACCGCCGCCCATGAACAACTGCAACACCAGGGGAATCGCAGATGCGTTGCCGGCCTTTTAAAAAGGAGTACGCTCTTTTCTTGAAGGTCCCTAAGTCGTATCGGTCCGGAAAAATCGCTGATGGTAATCGATTCCACAAGGAGGTCGTGCAAGGAAGAAAACATCTTCTAAATCGCACAGTGGTGGACCGCCAATCATCCAGATGGTGTGGATGGTATCGGGAGTTCTGCCGCGATGTGCGTTCGTGAAATTTGGCGGCTGGGATTAATCCGAACAATTCCTCAGAGCACTCCCCATGGTAGATGCGAAAGAAAATGCAAAGTGATGCAACATCTCTTCGCAGTGCCAATGAATCGAGCCGATCGGAAAGGTCTCGGTCGTCGACGATTCGAGCCGCTCTGCGTTGGATGCGGTCAAGTGGAAGGAGCTGGCACTGGGGAGCCCCTGCCCAGAGATGGGAACAGTATTCCATGTGAGGCCGAACTTGCGCCTTGTAAAGTTGCAGGCGGTGTGCCGGCATGAAATACTGTCCCGCTCTGCTGAGCACGCCAAGCTTTTTAGAGACCAATTTGGCCTTCCCTTCCAAGTGACCACGAAACTGCACGTCACTCGATATATCGACTCCGAGGATACCGATACTGGCTGAGGCAAGAACGGGAGTGCCTTCAAACTGAGGAGATACGATAAAGGGGTTCTTTTTAGCGGTAAACGCGCAAACTTGTGTCTTCTGAGGATTAAACTGGACTAGATTTAGTCGCCCCCAATCCGAGACTTTGTTCAGCAAAGACTCGACTTCAGACACAAGTTTGTTCCGGTACTCAGCGACGTTTTCCCGAGAAATATTGGCACGGCCGGTGTATAGAGCATCACCAGTGCTGTCATCCGCATAGCAATGAATGTTACCAGTTAGCAACATATCATTGATATGCAGAAAAAACAGCGTTGGTGATAGCACACAGCCTTGTGGAACACCAGCGTTAATAGGCTTGTAGTCAGAGCATGCACCGTCTACAACGACCTTGATGCTCCGATCTGCAAGGAAGCTGGTGATCCAATTCCACAATTTCTCGGGAAGCCCATAGGAAGGCAGCTTCGAAGGAAGCGCTTTGTGCCAAACCCGATTGAAGGCCTTCGCAATGTCCAGACTAACGGCCAACGCCTCCCCCTTGGAGTCTACTGCCTCCGCCAGCTGATCGACCCCGACGAAAACCGTATTGGCGGTCACTAATCAGCTGGTGATCCTCAAGGTACCGGATGAGCTGGCAGTTAATAATGGATTCCATTATTTTGGAGAACAAGGAGGTGATCGCGATAGGCCTATAGTTGGATGGGTCTGAGCGGTCGCCTTTTTTAGGGATCGGGTGGACAAAAGCTGTCTTCCATGAATTCGGGACTACGCCTTGGGAGTAGGAGTACCGGAAAAGACGCGTTAGGACCGGTGCCAACTCCGGAGCACACGTCCTCAGCACAATTGGGGGGATTCCGTCAGGCCCACTCGACTTCTGGATGTCCAGGGAGAGCAGTGCTTTGCGAACCGAGCGCTGTGAGAACAGCACATCCGGCATGGAGCACTCACACCGCGGGATGGTTGGCGGCGTTTTCCCCCGTCATCAAGAGTCGAGTTGGACGCAAAAAGGGAGCCTAAAAGGTCGGCTTTGTCTTTTGCGTCTTGGGCCAGTGAGTCATCCTCCCTGTGCAGAGATGGTAGTGATGGCTTACAGAAATTCCCTTGGACAGCCTTGGCGAGAGACCAGAATGCACGGGTTCCCGAAGGAAGGCGAACTAGTTTCTCGCCAATTCTGCCTATGTGCTCTGACTTTGCTTTGGCAATAACTCTTTTGAAGGACCTGGAGGCGAAGTTATACTTCTTTTTAAGTGTGCTGGTATTTACATCCCGAGTCGCCGAAGCCGCAGCCCAGGCTTGATAACACTCCTGCTTACTGCGTAATGCAGTCTTACAGGAGCGACCAAACCAAGGCTGAGATCTGCCTCCGATGGGTACCACAGATGATGGAACAAATAGTTCCATTCCCTGTAGCACCACATCAGTGACAGAGTCAGCAACAGCGCTGGGATCATCCGGCGAGAAGCAAACCCGCCCCCATGGGTAGGATGCAAAGAAGGACCGCATTCCGTCCCAATCCGCCGACCTGTAATGCCAAACACGGCGGCAACCTGCAGAACGCAACCGCGAAGGGAGCGTGAGTGGCACCACACTCCGGATCAGACAATGGTCCGAAGAGCCGAGAGGGGCATCGACGGAAACCTGATATCCGTCCGGATGAGAGGTCAGCAGAAGGTCCAACAGGGAAGGTGTATGATCCTCCACATCTGGAATCCGCTTAGGCGAAGTAACCAGTTGTGTCAGACCATATGCAAAGGCTAAGTTATAAACAGATCTCCCCGCATGATCGGTTAGACGTGAACCGAGCCATTCGGCATGGTGGGCATTAAAATCGCCAAGGATCACGATCTCTGCGGATGGGACCTGTTGTAGCAAGAAATCTGTAGCCATTTGGACGTGGTCGATGAGTCGGTCTGTTTCGGCATTACCGCTATGGGACCTATAGAGGCACCCGTAGACGCGCGGATGGTCGTAGCTGTCTACGCGTAGCCAAAGGATGGACAGGTCCGAACCTTCAAGACTGCCGAGGCGTCGAGAACAGATATCCTCTCTGACATACACGCAAACTCCAACCCGAGGCACAAAGGAATGCTCCAATTTGTACCCCGGGTAGGAGAGATACGAAATATCAGCCGGAGAGGAAACCTGCGTCTCGGTCAGAAAGAGCAAGGCCGGCTTCGCCGTCTCGAGATGGTGGAGATGGATGGTATGGTGGATGGCGTTTAGGTTAGAGTGAAGTCCCCTGATGTTGCAGAAAATCACGGATAGCGTGGCAGGGGTCACCTTGGTGTTCTTGCTCAGTTTGCCCCTAGCAGTTATGCTTTTGAGCGGAATTTTGCCCCCCCCCCAGAATACGCGGGGCAGTCTGAGCACCCACGCTCAGGATCGGAATAACATGGTCGTGGATGCTCAGCGAGGGATTCTCCAGGGGTACTGGTACCCTCCTGGGGTAGTTCTTCGTGTAATTCCGCTACCATGTTGATGGGGGGGGGGGGGGGGGGAATTGGGCCTCCGGCCACCTGCACTCACCAGACGAAACGCAGAAGCAGAGCTTCTACTTCACGCCGGTATTCTGTGAGGTCGTGGTACCAACCCGGCTCGAGCCGGCCCATACATGCAACAGCAAAAACTACTGCGTGGCTCTACCACCGTTAAAAAACAAGGACTTGTTTTTTAACGAATAAACTGAAATGCCTCATTACCACTTAAAAGTGTCTCCGGTTCTCTTCACTCGCCATACGCCGTTTACTATGGAATAATATGCTCTGATACTTTTACGAGAGTGGTGCTTTCCCAGAATAGCCTCATTCGTGTTGCAGCGTCGTTCTATCAAGTATAATTATAATTGAACCGACTTTAATAATAAAATGTAATAACTATTTAATTATTTATTTAAAATCTTAAATGAAATAACACCTTAAAGTAAAAGGGTGGACTTAATGCCATGTGGCATTCTCTGCCAGTCAACCTTGGGTGCCAAAGAGAATTGTTGGCAAGTGCGAAACATAATACTTATATAAAGTGTACATATATTAAAATGTATATAAACAAAGTACATACGTACTACTACAATATTAAACGGAAAATTTAGGTCTTCGGTTACATGGCCAGTAAATGTCTCCATAGTTACCAGAGTTCGAAATGTAATATATTGTGAGCTCAAAAATAAAGCCGCCCTTCTTGTGTTAGATTTTTCCCATGTTGTCTTTTAAAACATTCAGATCAAGGTTGAGATATCAGCCAGTTTAAGCCGCTGATACTACCTAGTTATTATTAGTAATGTTTTTATGAAAAATAATTCTTACATTATTTTCATCGTCATCGAGTTCCAAAAAGTCGTCATCATCGGAATCGTCATCAAAATCTTCACTTTCGGAGGAAACGTCTTGCGGCCGCGATGTTGTTGTTTTTGCGTTCATTTCTCGGCTGTACATTTGAGCGCGCAACCTTTCCTCCGACATGTGTGTTTCACGCCGTCCGGAGCTGCGAATTTGATTAATTTTAGGCATTCTTAATAATTAATTGATTATTTATGCATTTTTATAAAATCTCAAATGATAAATTACTGGAATCCAGTTGTTCTGAGAAACTTAAATTGGTTAAAGTACGTAAAATACGGAATGTGATATAGTTCTTTATAATAATATTTATCTACTGTTAAACGAATTAGCGATGCTAATATCGATCTAACCCCTCCCTCATAGGTTCGTTGTGGGCTGCAGTAAAATTCGGTAACGTACCTATAGCCCTACTATTGGTACGTTACCGAATTTTATCGCAGTATATATATGCAGAGACGAAGACTGTTAGGTTTAAACCGATAAGAGTCCAGAAGGACATCCCTGCTGCGAAGAGCTATCCGTGAGGATTTCTTCACGTAAAATAGGACTGATTTCTGAGAGTACTGCGTCCTGAGCTCTAACCCTAACCAAAACCAATATTTCGTGCCTGGGTTTAATATTTATACCCGCGTCTCTAACCTTATTTATCGTAGTTACCTTCGCGTTACATCGGATGTGTTTATGTTAGGATTAGATGCAATAGCCTCTGTATAGAATGGTCTAGGATAAGAGGTTCAGTGGATAAAATAATGTAAAAAAATATATTAACTTCTTCATCAACACACTTAGAAGAAGAGTGTTTTATGAAAAAAAAGAACAAATATCTACTTCTTCTTCACCCTATTTACGTAAGTTCTCTTCAGGAATATTTAGCGTTACATCGGATGCACTTATGTCAGGATTAAAGTTGTGTTTCTGTGTTTATATTAGCGGCACAATAAAATGTCTCGCGAAGTTAACAACATGTGAACACGTCAAGATAATAGTTGTCGCCATAGAATTATCACCACCATCACTTGCTTTAATTCTTCCTCTTCACGAGTCTATTGAATCCACGGTGGATATAAACCGTTTTTGAAATACGGTAAATGTATTTCTTGAAACATCATTCTAACCTCACCACTCCTCCCAGGCGGTATCGTAATTGCAGAGGCGATAATCGCCACTAACTGTAAAAAAAAACTACAAATTATAACAGCACTGAGTACGAACCTTTCGACAAGAAATGTATCGGGCCAGTGTGCAGCCGCCTGTCGCCTACGTCGTGGTTGCAGCAAGGGCAACAACGAGCGGCCGTCCATGTGTGGCGGCGGATCCACTCCGCCCATGTCCAAGAAAGTTGGAGCCAAGTCGATATTCAGGATTATGTCGTCCACACTAAGATAAATGTTAAAGACTTGTTTAAAAAACGAGATATCATGAGATTCTATGAAAATATCTTTATATTATGTATTATATTTTAATACTATAATAACATAGTTACAACGTAATTAGGATTCGATCTATAAATAGAATATTTTATGATAAATGGAAACTTCTAACTTATTGTACATGGTACAAATGTGAACCCAATGACAACTAAAAAAAATGTGAACCCAATGGTTCTCGACTGGTTGATTAACCTTAGACTTGACGATAGGCTTTTTCCTTTAAGAGTTTATTCACTCATTCTTTCATTAACATAGCATAGCATAGGTCACCGCCACAGCTTGCCACATAGGGGTGATATGTGCTATAGTTGCCACGCTTGGCAGCCACGTAGTGGAGGCGTAAGAGATTCCACTACAACATATCATCCTGTGGGTGTTGTAAGAGGTGACAGAAGAAAACAGAAACAGGAGATGCACAGCAGAATCTTCCTGATGACAACTCAAAATTAAAAATAAGAAATGCTGTTGTCAATCGTTTTATGACTACCTATTTTGTCCTAAGTAAGTACTCGTATGTACTCAATTTTACTGTTTAAACTTTCCTAAGGGGACCAAACAGTCATTTCGGAATTAGGTTGGTAGCTACTTATGCAAATGCATCTTGAGGTGGGATCTGACTGGGACCGCATCGCATAAATTCTATTCCTAATATGTTTCTTCTTCATCTGGCCACTTCTAGACATGGACTTATCTCGTTGGGAGACAAATTTGCCTTATATCGTCGCTCTTGGCAGAAACTCATAAAAATGTTTGGCTTATTTTTTGTTGTACAAAAAGTACTAATAGAACATGACAATAAATTAAAACTTAAAACATCTAAAAGTCGGTATTTAGTTATTTATAGAGTACGCAGATATTATTAGGACTTACACAGTGCCAGGTTCTACACCGGGCCCACGAACAAGGAAGGGAACTCTGATGTCAAACTCGAACGGAAAGCTCTTTCCTTTGACTAGACCGAATTGACCCAGATGATAGCCGTGGTCTGACGTATACACCAAGTATGTGTTGTCCAATTCACCGAGCGCCTTCAGCTCTTGATAGACTCTTTCCACTGCCTGAAAAAACAATGGATTAAGAATCTAATCATGGAACATATACATACCTAATACTTATGTAGTATTGACAATAATTGGAAGGACAATAATGTCCATGGGCCACAGCAACCACTTACCATCAGGGGGACTGTGTGCTCGTTTGTCACCCTATCCTATAAAAAAAGACTAAATAATAATATTTAATATAAATAGGTGTCTTGTAATTTTTTAGCACATAGTTCACATGGTAAGTGGATGCTGTGACCCATTCACATCTACATATATCCTTTGTAAAGAAACAAAATACAGAATTTTTGTGAGTCCCGATGTCTGAAATGAAATGGTTCATTACAAAGTTTACATTTACTTTTCTGATAGAAAACACTCAGTTTTCTATCAGTTTTTCCATTGTATAGGTACATAAAATATATTTTTTACCAAGTGGCAGCTGCGAGTGAATCAACTAAATCGGCGTCTAAAGTGAAAAAAGCCTTTGAGTCTAGCGATTACGGTAAATGTTCCTATCATAAACCTAATATTATATACCATTATATTATATTATGTAATCCATTATAATATTACAATTAAAATTCTATCATTTTAGTAAAAATAGGAATTTGTAGTCAATTATTGTTCAATTATGAACTCGGAATAGCCCAGGATACGAGGGGCACACTGAAATGATCGGGAATAGAATATTTCGGATTGAGTTCAGTAAAACCTTCTTTAGAATTTGAATACGGGCTTCTTAGAATCTTAATGACATTCAAACAATTAAAAACAAAAATTATGTTGGTTTAAAGTTGAGACGTCGTTAACAGAAATGGAGCTCACGCGTGAACATTTCCGTGCCATAATTTATCACAATTTTCGTCGCGGCTTATCTCAAGATAAATGTCTCAGCGAACTTGTTTCGATTTATGATGTTGAAGCACCGAGTGAAACGACAATATACCGCTGGTATGACAAGTTCCGACGCGGTCGTGTGTCGCTCAGCACTGTCTTTTGCAGGTCGACCAAGAAAAGCGGTCACGCCTGAAAACATCGCAGCTGTGCGAACTATTATATTAGATGACCGTCATGTGACATACGAACAGATTCGGGCTGTTATCAGTATCGGAATGACTGCAATTCAGTCGATATTACATAATGAGCTGTGTGTAAGAAAGCTAGTTTTCCGCTGGGTTCCCACAATTTGTTCGAAGAGTTTGCTCGTGTAGATTGGTGCCGGAATACTCTGCAACGCTTCAACGAAGGGAAGTCAAATGCCGTTTATAATATCGTCTCAAGTGACGAATCACGGATTTATTCATACGAATCTGAAAGAAAACATCAGTCAGCAGTTTGGGTCTTCGAAGACCAGGTCAAACCAACGAAAGTGGTTCGCTCCCGCAGCGTGTCAAAGAAAATGGTCGCTACGTTTGTCTCGAAAAAGGGGCATGTTGCTACAATTCATTTACAGGAACGCAGAAAGGTTTGTTTGCCAGAAATGATAGCCGAACTCCGAAATAATAACCCGAAACGTCGCATCACCTTACATCACGATAAATCGAGCTCCCATACGGCTCGGAAGACAAATGGTTTTTTTGAAGCAGGAAAACGTTGAGCTGATGAGCCATCCTCCGTACAGTCCTGACTTGAGCCCAAACTATTTCTTTACATTCCCTAGAATGAAAGATTTATTACGCGGTCAACGGTTTGAAGACCCCGAAGCAGCTGTGGAAGCGTACAAATCAGCCATTTTGTCAATATCAACTTCAGACTGGAATTACTATTTTAATGATTGCTTTACACGAATGGAAAAGTGCATTAAGTTGAACGGAAAATACTTCGAAAACAATAAAATACAATTTAGCTATACCATGCATGTGGTTTTTCTTATTCCCGATTATTTCAGTGTGCCCCTCGTACATACATTTAACAAACCCAACTTCACTTTACAGAAATTATTTCGAAAATTTGTTCTGCGATCTCCGTAAAATATTGTAATGAAACATGCCTTATCTAAATTAAAAATATTTTGAGGAAATCTTTTGAATTTTGTAAATGACACTGAAGAAGCACGCGGGGATCATTTTGTTCCATCTGTTTTAAAAATTCGAGGCCTGTCCCTAGCTGTGAGAGATATTTTAAATTACATAGTAGAGTTTAGGTAGTAGAGCTACGCTGCAGCTATGTTATGGTTGTTGCACGAATGGATTAGCTCGACCGGGGAAGGAGCTCTCACAGAATACCAACGTAAAATAGCAACTTAAGGCTGCGGTGTTTCGTATGGTGAGTGCAGAGAACCAGAGACCCTTTTTACTGGAAACGAGGCATTCCATCATAGTCCTCAGGGGTAACAACGCATGTACATTTTGATTTTTATCTGTTTAATGTGTATAGGGCATCACCAGTGCTGTCATCCGTATAGCAATGAATGTTACCGGTTTGCAACATATAATTTATATGCAGAAGAAACAACGTTGGTGATAGGACGCAGCCTTGTTAGATGCCATTATATTATAATATGTAATTCGAATTAATTCAAACCAACCAATTGAACACCAGCGTTAATAGGCTTGTATTCGGATTTATGTTATTGACATTGATGCTTCGATCAGCCAGAAAACTGGTGATCCAATTGCATAATGTCTCGGGAAGCTTTAAAAAAAACGCCTTGTGCCAGAACCGATCGAAAGTATTCGCTACGTCCAAACTAACGGCCAACACCTCCCCCTTGGACTCGATCGCCTGCTCCCATCTATGTGTTAGGTAAACAAGAAAATCACCAGCTGAGAAACTAATCAGCTGCTGCTCTTCAAGGTACCGCATGAGCTGGCAGTTAATAATGGACTCCATTATTTTCGAGAACAAGGAGGTGATGGCGATAGGCCTGTAGTTGGACGGATCAGAGCGGTTACCTTTTTTAGGGATCGGGTGCACGAAAGCTGTCCTCCATGAATTTGAGAGAACGCCCAGAGAGTAAGAGTCTATAAGTATTGATGGATATTTTCAATATTTACCATATCTACGCTTTGTAACGTCTGCAATCGTTTGGTCATAAGAAGGTCCGTGAACTGCCGGTGAATAGGTTTCATTTTCTCCGTGACGCGTAGGATCCATTGCTTATCAGGATTGGGCGCCATGTCGTATGTTGGGGTACTGAAAAAATATACTATTAATTGTTTCTTATATTTATGCAATACTACACATTATTGTTTCAATTATAAGACGTCATACGAGTGAAGCAAACAGCAACAGATGCAATATTTTAGTCTTCCGAATAATAATTTCTGGGCTGGCGGCATAAAATATTCATCCTCGAATTTCGTTCCGTATGTGATGTAAGAGGCGATTAAGATAAATTGTATTTATTACGTAGTACAGCCGCAGCATGAATTTGCCGGCTCAACCGTATCAAAAGTCCACTACTGAGCATACCAGAGATTACCTCATAGGGGGAAATTCGGCATATTTGACACGCTTGGCGGCAACCACAGCGTTTTATCCGACTTCAAAAAAGGAGGAGGTTCTGAATTCGACTATTTTATATATGTATATATTTTAATGTGCGTTACCTCAAAACTTTTTTGTAAGTGAAACTATTTTGATGATTCTTTTTTTTTTTGAAAGCTGGTGCTTTTCATGTGGTCCCATATATATTTGTTCAACAAGATCTGATCAGTAGTTTTTGAGTTGTCCTTAATAATGCTTATTTAATTGACTTCGAGTACATTCATAATATTCTTTATCATTTTATTTATATTGAAGTCGGTTGTACAAAATTTTTAATTTTACCAGTTACTATGGTGCGTTACTAGCGTCAGAGAGACCCTTTTGGCTGGTGACAGGGCATTCCAAATTAAGTTGTTAATAACTTTAAAAATAAAAAAAATTGGAATACCCAGAAGTGCACACGCCAAACGCTCATGTAACATTTTAAATGGATTACAGAAGTGATTATCGAAAGGAACCAGCTCTACACGATTCTGAAAATAGTGAAAAAAAAAATAAGGTCGTTTTGTTAAGTAGTAGTATCTTGTACATAGAATTTATGAACTACAGACTAAAGGACATCCACATTATAATTTTTATCGGATTCCTTTTTTACCTAGTCAGGTCATAAATTCTGTCACATGTTTAATATAAAATAATTGAAACAAGTTTATTCATTATGTAACCATTTATATACCAAAATGAACTTAACAAAACATAGATTCTTATGACACTAAAGTTTATTCAAAATGACCTCCGTGATTTTGAATACAGGCCTTCAATCTGCGCGGCCAATCGTCTATCGCAGCACGAACGAGGTCCATGTCAATATCGGCGGCTGCCTTAATCAAGGATGTCTTGAGTGACTCCAAATTGGGATGAGGATTTGAGCACGCCTTTTCCTCCAAGTGTTGCCATATCTTGTAATCTAACGGATTCAAATCTGGAATGGAGGAGGGCCCATCTTCGTGCCGGATGAAGTCGATTTCACGCGCTGCCAGCCAGTCTTGTGTGCTCTTCGCTCTATGAGCTGGTGCCGAATCTTGTTGGAATACCCAGTGCCTGTTATTGAACATGGTATGAGAAACAGGTTCCACAAGGTTCGTTAGGACTGTATTTTGATACACAACTGCATTCGTTTTTACACCTTTCTCACAAAAATGTACCTCTGTTAAGCCCCAATAAGAAACTCCCAACCATACCATGAGCGAGGATGGAAAATGACCTCGTTGGACACGCGGAATACGGTTGCTCGCTTCTTCACTACTGTGTGCGTACACCTTATCATTTTGTTTGTTGTAGCTCTCTTCTACGATAAAAATTTTTACATCCGAAAATAGAATTTCCCGATATTTTTTCCCGCGTACCGCTTCAACAAAGCGCGGCATCTCTTCAGTCTCAGGTCCATTAGACGAGCATTCAAACGATATCCTGTTTTTCTTCGATATGCCCGAAGCCCTAAGTCTTCATTTAACACCCTTTTCACCGTGGTTCTGCTTAACCCCAACTGAAGGGCCAACAGTTTCTGCTTACGTTTGGGATTTCTTTGAATTCGCGCCTTCACAGCTTTTATCACTGCTGGAGTCCTAACAGACCGAGGGCGACCACTTCTTGACCTGTCATCTACATTAGAGTCTTCATTGTATCGTTTGATGGTACGATAAACGAATCTTTTGGTTATATTCAAATTTTTCAGTATGTCAAAAATTTGAATTGGCGCGTAACCGCAACGACGCAACGCAATAACTGCAGCACGGTCTTCTTTAAGCGTCCACTCCATATTTAAAAATGAGTAAAATTCTAAAAAATATACAGTTTTATTTTCTTTTTTAACTTTTTTGCTGCCAGCATTCTAAAAGGAAAGTTTTTACTGTGTGACAATACTTATGACCTGACTAGGTATATACGTGTTGCTGAATTAAAAAAAAGTATCACGCTTGTTCATTAGTGCCTCCTCTTCTAACATATCTATTAGTGCGATGTAAAACTATAAACACGATTCAATGTGATTGAAACGAGTGATTGGAAATTCGATAGTAGAGTGCAACCTCTCCCTTAGCGTTCGGGTGTGCGAACAGTTACAGCATGACAATATATCTGTATTTTTATTCTGAATCGAGGATAGAACAGATCTAGGTGTTTACGGACCAGAGCATACACTTTTTTTTATAGAAGAGGGGGCAAACGAGCATGCGGCTCACCTGATGGTAAGTGACTACCGCCACCCATAAAAACCGTAACACCAAGGAAATTGCAGGTGTGTTGCCAACCATTTAGAAAGGAGTAAACTCTTTTCTTGAAGGTCCCTAAGTCGTATCGGTCCGCAAAAATCGTCAGTGGTAAGCTATTCCACAGAGAAGTTGTACAAGGAAAAAAACTCCTAGTGAAACGCACAGTGGTGGCCCGTCGAGCATCCAGATGGTGAGGATGGTATGGTGAATATTGACGCGATGTGCGTTCGACAAATCTAGAATTAATCCGAACAATTCCTCAGAGCACTCCCCGTGGTAGATTTGATAGAAAATGCAAAGGGATGCAACATCCCTACGCAACGCCAGTGTATCGAACCGATCAGAACGAACTCGGTCGTCGACGGCTCAAACCGCTCTGCGTTGGATGCGGTCAAGTGGAAGGAGCTAGCACTGGGGTGTCCCGATGTCAAGTGGACTGTATGATTGTTTTACCCTTTCACTTTTAAAAAAATACCATCCCCTTTGACCCTTGGGTGTTGTATGAATCGACCAAGAGCAAAGTTGATTAGCAAAATGTGTTAGTGATGCAGTTATGAACTTAAAAGAAGAACACAAATAGATGATTGCAAGTTATAAATAAAAAGCATAATTATAAAAGATTATCACGTAACTTTTGTATTCAGTCAGAAATAGATAGGTACATATTTGTATATTAATAATAATTTAGTAGGTAGTCTTGTATTTTTAAGCTCCGATGGTAATTTAAACTTTAATATAGGCTTTTAATTACCTATCTTTTAAAATTATAAGATCTGTGCCGTCCATTACATTCATTATATATACAGGGTCATTTTGCAATAACCGGCCAAATTTGCAGATAAAATTCGGAATAAGTAATATAGGCAAATGGTGAAGAAATATTAATTTAAAAAAAATCTCAAACATTCTGTCCTTTTATCTTTTAAATTAAAAATGTGTGGTAATGCATTATTTTTATTTTAACTCATTTTACTGCTCACGCACACATTCGTAAGGGTCGATCGGTAGGCAAAAACGATGTTGCCCATAAATCACATTCAATTTGGGATAATTTCAAATAAAAGTAGAAGCATAAAAGCATAGCAGTCAGGGTCACTAACCACTAGGCCTGTTGGTCTAGTGGTTAGTGACCCTGACTGCTATGCCGGAGGTCGTGGGTTCGATTCCCACCCAGGACAAATGTTTGTGTGATGAACACGATCATTTGTTCTGTGTCTGGGTGTAATTTATCTATAATATTTATGTATTTAGAAATATATAAGTATGTTTATCAGTTGTCTAGTACCCATAACACAAGCTCTGCTTAGCTTGGGACTAGATGGCGTTGTGTGATAGTTGTGGAATATTATTATTATTATTATTATTATTCTTTACTCGTATTTTCAAAAACTGCACTTAAGTTTAAAATTTGGCTACTCTTTAAAAAAATAAACCTGTATATACATAAAATCATTGCATTGGCTAAGTATAGAACAATATTCCCATTATTTTTTTTCATTACATTATTGTTACCTATATTATTCATTTTTAAAAAGATGCAACAACTAATTACTTATATGTACAGTGAAGAAGCGCATTTTTTGCGCTTGTTTTACGTTATTTAAGTCGACCTTTTAAATATGTGTATATTTTTTTATCTTATTGCTCGTTTGTCGGCGGGACCCCCAGGACAGGTTTAATGGCGACCACACAGAATGCCGTTGGTTGAATATTAAACGACGCGACGTCAGGTCCAGCGTTCGACTCCGGTTATCGGCGCCGGCTAGTCGTAAATGAAGACTCGTTGAATAAATACATGCAAAATGTTTAAAACAACACCATACTAGTGATATATTATTTTTTCTTTTATTTCGGCATCAGACAGTAATGTTAAAAATATATACTTAGTTTACACTTTACATTAACTCTAAGACAAAAGACTAAATAGTGCCCACTAATCTACAGCATCAAACTATTTTTACATTGTAAGACAACGTAGTCGGGCAACAGTTTTACCTGCTGCAAAATCTATTTTGAATCTAACGTAAGAACATACAAACTAGTGTTGAAAACATCTATTTCCAAAAATACTTAGGTATACATAATGATTTCTTACGTTTCTGCGAACACTACACATTTAAATGAATATTAAATTAGTTACTTTAAACTTCCGACCTTTCTAGTACTTTACAGCACTCATGGTTACGGGGGAAGGGAGGGGTGACGTTCCAATGGCATAGTTAACCACAGGTACCTTCAGTTTAAAATTATAAATTTTGGACAGACCTACGCAGATTGAGCATATAGTATCTTAACGTACACACGTACAGGATCCTGCACGTGTTCACAGATTGCAGACTTCCCGGAGCGTTGATTTCGCCCCTGTCACTACATCAGATTTGATACACTACAAATCCTCCCTAACAAATACCGATTCCTTCCAAGAATGATTCGCGA